GTATAGTATAGTATAGTATAGTATAGTATAGTATAGTATAGTATAGTATAGTATAGTATAAGCAAAATTTGCGACTTACCACTCATAAAGTTTTGCAGTTTCATGCACACGCTTCAATATCTCGTCTTTAACGATCTCGTTCGACCTCATGTACACTCCTCATCAGCGACAGGATCATCAACCCAAGCATAGCTGCATAGGCATGATATAAAGGCATCATCATCGCTTGAAACCAGATATATCGGCTTCTAAGCCTTCTATCCCTACATTTTGTCATATTCTGATAAATAATCGTTCCCTGATGCGAACGAAGAAGCCTCTGAAGATGCATCCGTCGAAGACATTGCAAAAAGATATAAAAAACCGCGAATTATTCTTCGAAATTAAAGCTTCTTTGTAATGGTGTTTACAAGGAAGCTTCGCATGAGTTCACCAATTGACGTCACACATTCCTCTCTCACCAGTCTCCCAAAACTCGGTCGTGGAACAAATGTGTGCAAACTTTGAGAAGCCATAGAATTGCGAGAATTCAACCGATTAAAAAAATTTTTCCAGTTTTCAAAAATTTAAGGGGTTAGCTCGGCTTTTAAGTAAAATAATGTCTTTGTGTGCATGCCCAAACTTTCCTGCGAAAATTTGTATTTGTTTTCACAAGTCAGCCCGCCCCAAAAGTTTTGTGTAAACGTGTGGTGAAATTCATCTTGGGGAAGCGAGTTAGCTAGCTCAGGTACCCGGGCTGGCTCGAGCTCTCTTCCATATAAACAGCCCCTTAGGTCTGTTTTGATGCTAGTGCCCCCCACCATCAAATGTTCACTATTCGGTATATAAGGTTGTATAAAGTTGAACATAACACAGCATGGACATGCAGTTGATGATCTGGGAAACATGTATGTGATCTGGGAGACTACTGCTGTGAGGCACCACCATGGTTGGCACTGAGTGAGAGAATTTTGGAAATTTGAAGTCTCTAGATTGCCAGAAATATCATTTTCAAAGGTTTGCGAACAACAGCAATAGAATAAATCAGACAGAAAGTTGGATGGGCATAAACCAAACTGTAATTTGGAAGTGATGGCATGTACCTGTCACTTGCACTTCGGTGCCCCTGATGACCATCACTGGGTGGCCATGCCCTCCTCCCACCCACCATGCCACTGACAGGGAGTTGTCCAAAATATGTCATATCAATTATGTTGTCCATTTATAGAATACGAAAAACCAATCTAGTTTCTTAAATTAAATTAGCAAAAAAAATTGACAACATATGATATCTTGAAATGAAGTTAATTTACACATTCTAATAAAAATATACCACTTTCAGGATCCAAGTTTGGTTGCTTTCCATTTTTGGATGCGCTAATCAATATTTTGTGTTAACATCCCCCAGGCATACCCCCGGGCATTTGACTTTTTCAATATTTTGCAATCAAATATTCCCTACCGGAAAAGGTATCAAATGGTGTAGGTATGCCAGGGGGAGCATAAATTGATGGAGCATAAATTGATTGGCACATTAGACTTTGTCTTTATTATTTTACTTATAAATGACCAATTGGAAGAAAAATAATAGTAAAGTGTTCTGGGTACAGTGTACTCTTAATGTTAAATTTTTATTCATTCAAAAGGTGTTTAATTTACAATTAATTTAAGAACAACAAAAGCTCTAATTATTAAAATATTTGAAAAAAGCAAAATATTTTGATTTTAAATAACACAATAAATTTATTTTCAACTAGTAAAAACATAAACATTTAACAATTTCATTTTGACCGTTACAAGTCACTGAAAAATTCTGCACACATGAACTTCAAACAAAAAAAATTTCTACATCGGATCCAAATTATATATATTGTGCAATGTGGCATGCTTTACAGTCTAATGTAAAGTTAAAGTTACTTGAATAATTTACATGCATGGTAATAGACTTTACACAATTTTAAATATTTGTATTTCGAATCAATTGATTCATCTTCAGGAAAATTATTTGCAACACATTACAAAATATACATTTTGTTCGCAACTCACTAATTGCAATTAACTCAAAATGGCAATGTTAATTAAGTAAACAATTTATCTGTTTGTGTGTACTTAATTGGCAAGCTTTAGGATTTTTTCTTGTATTTCTAAATGCTTATATTTACTATAGTTATTAATTGTATTTCCATTCTGGTTTGATTGATTCCATATAATTATATAAACAGATTGCTTGTTTGTCCAGGCATATTGAGCAGCTCCAGATTATGCTAGTTTTCCCCCTTACAAAGAAGCCCTAACTTAATTTGTGCTGTGGATGATAAAATAATTAAACACTGTTTAGTTCAGAAGTCCAAATCCTTTGATGTATATAGCATAACTACCACCAGTCATTGGCTGATCGCATTATTAATCCGCCCCCCCCCTATTGAGGACATGTGGAATTTCCAATGGCCCCCTGCAAAAGTGAACCAAAAATGAAGGAATTTCCATGGGAGGGTCCAAATTTTAAAGTAAATCTGCGGAAATTCCAAAGGGTAGGTAAGAAAAATGAGTAAAACGTATGGAATTTCCATGGGCATGGGAGGGTCAACAATGGAAAAGAATTTCCAAAGGATAGGATAAAAACCAACAAGGAATTTTCCAAGGGATAGCTACTAATCAAAGAATCAATACGGAATTTCCACTGGCTAGATGGGTTAAAAGTTCATAAAAATTTGTGGAAATTCCATGAGCATGGCTAAAATTCAAGAAAAATCTGCAGAAATTCCACAGGGGAGGCTAAAAATTCTCTTAAAATATGTGGAAATTCCAGGGGAGGGGGACCAAAAAATGGATGTCCTCAATAGGGGGGTGCGGATTAATAATGCGATCAGCCATTGTAGTATGTAATTATTTAGGCACTTGCCACACCAAGGCCAGTGCACTTAGGGGAGGCAATCTCCTCCACACACAAAAGTCAAACAATTAGTGGAGGCAACATCCTCGCCTTAATAGAGCATTCACTGCACTGGCTATAAACATTGCGGCAGTTGCTGCATCAAAGAATCAAGTCAGATTTCTGTGTAATGATTATTCTGAGAATAAACTGGTGCAAGACTTTTCAATGACTGGTCTTTATTAATATTATTAAATGTCATGTGTAAAAACTTAAACCTGTTCATAATTAATTTGTTGAATTTATTCCTCTTGCAGGATAACATCCCATTGCAATTCTGTTGGGCCCCTTGCTCCATACTGGCCATCTTTCCAGGCATAGAAGTTTATCCAGAACTTATCGTTCTTAACTTGGCTTTCGATTTGCCCATTTTCAGCGATGTATGTTCTCTGCAAATGAGGTAAGTAAATTCAACATCTGTAATACTAATAATATTAAATGAGACACTTACAGTAGTAGGATGTAACCACTGATGTAACACTTTAGGTAGATTTTTACAGGTAATAGTATTTGCAATTTTGCAAGTTGCAACACTCGTATATTTTAGCTACTTTTCAAAATTCAAACTGTAATTTTGGCTCTGAGCATGCGCTGATGTCAGAATAACGAATTCGGACAATCAGACGACACCACATGGGATCGAAGCATGAATGATAAAATATATCTCTTTCGGTCCGTTTATCTTGCAAATATAATGAATATATGTTGATTTTACACGGACTTGACATTGGTGAATTGTTGGTGTTTGCCCAAACAATTATATGGAAAAAAATGGGTGAGTAAAGTCGTATTTGGCAACGGCAAATTCTATCTATATTTGACATATACATATATTTTTAAAATTATTATATTTGTCTACGAAATTAATAAGAGGTTCAAGATTGATCGAACTCAAAACTAAATCATATTATTTCCATGCCTTTGTAGTATTGGAATTGATGAGAGTCGATAGAACGTTTTTAAAAGCGAAAAATACAAATGGATTCAACCGAAATAGTTCAAATTAATAATTAATATGTACGTGATACTGGAAGTGGTCGTGGCTTGGGTATCAAAATAACGGCTTGGGTGTCAAAATCTGAAGAATCGTCTACTCCTTGAATCTTAGTGAAACCATATATCTTTTATAAGAATACATGTATTACATACGGCAAGTGCAGTTTGGCGGAATACAGCCTGTTCTAACACAACATTGAACTTTATTCCCAGAAGACTGCATATTCTGGTTGCCAGTTCTTTCAAAGAAGCATTCCTGAGGGAAGACCAGGTTCCTATTCCAAGAAGCTGAACATAAATAAAGTAAAAAATATTTTTTAACTACTACTAATTTTTTACCAGGGTGAAGGTTTTGAGGGATTGATTACATTGTGACAAGCTTGGTGGTGCAATTAGCTATACCATGGTATTTATAGTGAGCTTAAGCAAGCTGTGTTGTTTTGTCAACACAGATGTCACACAACTCATGATGCTCACATAGGGACACAATAGATATTAAATACCTCAGGTTTTACTATATTTCCTGAAGATTGACACAAACACCGTTTTTTTATACTCAGAAATTTGACGTCCATGGCATCAAAAATGCCAATTGCTTAAACTCACTATTACAAAGCCTATGAAGAATTGATCTGCTCTGTCATTAGCTATTAATATCTACTACTGCCTTTCTTTTCCCATGAAGATCCATCTCTGAATCTTACCCATTAAGGAAATTAAGAACTTGTGAATGGAAATTCTGTTTACAAAATCTTAGCAGCGTAATTTGTTTGTTTTACCCTTCTCCTTTCTTCTGCCCTCCAATATGTGAATTTGACTCTCTCCAGTTGTTCAGCCATGGTCATCAACTCCCCCAATGGTATCCCATATGACGAGTTGCGGAATTCAACTTCAAGTTGTTCCTTGATATGGAGAAATTACATTTTATTATGATATATATTTCCATAAATCAGTACAGTGGTGATATTTGTTGAATTAAAATATATATTATCATGAAATTTCAATTTTATACTGCCTTTCTCTTCTCTGAATATACTTACTGTTTTGCTTGCATTTTGTTTTGGGAAGCGACCAAGTTGCACATAGGCCTTGGACAATATTTTGTTTACATTATCCTGTAGATTAAAAGATAATGTGTTAGCGAAACCATAATAAATGTAAAATACAGTTATTATATTTAGTATCCTTTCTTGTCCTGTATTGGACAAGACAGGTTTTGGGGTAAAAATTACCGCATGACTTGACTTGGCTAAGTCAAAATTTTTCGAACTCTGCTGTTTCACAAGTTGCTTTAGTTCTTTGCCCATCTCCGTTTGCTTTTTGGCAACTTCTTTCATAAGTTCCTTCAGCTCCCTGAGTTCTTTCAAAATGCATGGCGGCTGTTGATATGCTGCTGTTGGGTCCTGTGTTTCGCTATCTTCAGTTTCGTCTTTAAAAATACCAAAATAATTTTCGCTGAATTTACAAAATTTAAACGCATTTATTTTATAACCACAAGGTCCTTAGAAATTGTTCATTATTTAATAAATTTGATTTACACTTAAATTTACTTATAATATATACACAAATACCTTCGAAAATGTTTTGAGGACAAGGCATGAATGTCCGTACGCGGCTTGTTTCCCCAAAACTGGCAAAAAATGTTTCTTCGTGTAAGTTTTAATATCCAAATAAAAACACTTTTGTTTGCTATTTTACAAAAATAGTAAATTAATGCTTACTTGCTAGAAGATTCAAAACCTCTTCCGTTCACTCTAGATTCTCTGGACATTTTTTATGAAAATTTAAAACCCTCGGGAAAAAAAACACAAAATGAAAGCGTTCAACTTTTGAGGAAAAAAATGCGAAGCTGTGCATTTGTTATTGTTTTGGAAAATTTAGACCAATGAGAGTGAAGTATTTGCGTCAAGCAACCAATCAAAATCTTTGAAGTTGAGGCGGGTTGAAGCGCGAATTTTGTTTGTCGCAAGTCAAGCAATTTAAATGAACGCGAACAAGGTCAAATTAATTAAACAAGGCCAAGGTAAACCTTAGCCCTTTAATAGAAAATGAAGAAAAGACCATGCCGTTTTCGTTGCGACCTTTGCCGGGTAAATTTTGAATCGTTCGATAGGTTTTCTGCTCACTTTACGTCAAGAGCACATCTCATCCAAAAACTACAAACGGCACAGCAAGAAGTGCAACTGTTTGCTGATGAGATTTCAACAGACAACCTCTGTCTTTGTGACGACGAAAATGGGCTATTGGTACCGGACCACCTTTTCGATCAAGAATTCTTAAATGTTGATGATGAAATGTTGGACAATGAAAGCTCTTTTGACGATTCAGACTCATATTTAGACGAGTTTATCTCAGGCGTTTCAGACGACAGCTCAAGTGATGGCGACATTGATAACGTTTCAAGGCGACCAAGACAGCAGGAACAGGACTCATACTTTCCATTTCCGTCCGAGATTTTTTTCTTACTTTATAGCTATGTACATAATATTTCAAGACCCAAGGTAATTTTTTTTTAACTAATATAATTTTAATTATTGCCAAAATTTTTAATTTCCCATGTTTGAAGCAATCGAGTTTACGTTTTACAAGATTAAAGACAAGCATTGACTGTGTCCGCAGGGGTGAAACTAGTCCCTTTTAATTAGGGGGTTCTGCTAGAATTGCCCTGCAAAAGCCGACGATGCCCTGTAGCAATTTATTATTTTTGGCCACTATTTTTCCCAAAAATGTGGGGGGGGGTGTTAAAAAAAAATTTTCAGGAGATTCAAAAAAGGGGTTGAAAATTTTTTCCGGACCGGTTAAATTAAGGGTCAAAAAGTTTTTTCGTAAAAATTCCTGTTAAACCTGCGTGAAACCTTATTTTTGGACCAATATCTGTAAAATTTAGGTCTATAAATTATATTCAATTCCCTCTGGAAGGCCTGTAAGTTACCGTAATAACTCTACATTCTATCATTTAAAATCTTTGATTGCCCTGCCAATCCAGGCCGACAAGGAAAGATCGAGTTATTTGGCCTCAAAAAGGCCAACATACCAACCCTGGTTGAAATTGTAAATTTTATACCACCATAATTATAAACCCACCCCAAGCAATGGACAACTTGCATGTTAGACTAAATTTCAATCTAAGTAAAGACTGAAAATATTAAAATTTCGCAAGGCTAAATTTTCTGTATTTTACAACATGTCGTAACCAAATTTTAAAAATTTTAATAAGCTCTTTACGGGAATTTACTTAGTTCTTGCCTAAATCAAAAATTAGTCTAACATGCAAGTTGTCTATTGCAACACATTCAATTGAAACACTGAAATGTATCAATTTCAAATATTTAGCCTTTCAGAAATTACTTGGCTTGTGAATGTGTAATTTTCCTGCCAAACATGCTTTTATACCGATAATCGGGCCCGAGTTTTGGCTTATGTAGTTACTAGCTAATTCATTAAAGGTTGTCCTTCAGAAACTTTAAACTCTAAGCACGCAAAGCAAAATGGAAGCACTAGTTTTAACCTTAATAGTTGAAATTTTAGATGTTTGAGGGTGAAATGTTCTGGTGCGGAAATATTTACTATGTGTTTTAGAAATAGGCCCCAAATTGTGCTCCCATCATTATTTGCGCCCTTCGAGTTTAAGGTTTAAGGTGGCTCGATACAGTTTTCAAAAATGCATTTTTAAGCTTTATTCTTTTAAACTACGCATTTTTAAGATTTATTCAGCAGATATTATATATCTTGATAACTCTACTTTCAAATTATATTAGTTATAGTAACAAATAGTTCGTTGCTATGACGACATACGTATACGAAATTCACTCCAAAGTGGCCTATCGTCTCGTATAGTTGGAAAAAAAGCACGGTTACCCCCATTTTTTTCCTTGCATTATTTCACTTGGACGAAAAGCTAACAATTAGCAAAATATAAAAAAATTCTGTAATGCCATTTTTTTGGAAAATGCGAAAATGTCATATTCTTCTGTAAAATTTTTTTGGCATTACAGAATTTTTTAATTTTTTGTATGATGAAAGTTTTTAGCGATGCAATACAACATGCAAAATTTGAACATAGGTCACCGGACAAAATAAAGAGATATAGCGCATTTGTTTTTCTAAAATGGAAAATTCTAATGACGTCAGCAATTGACATAAAACGCTATAAAACACGCGCAATGGCGTGATATGGCGCGAGCAACTGCTCGAGTCAGGTCATTTTGGAAGTTCTTTCCTTTTTGTTCATCAGTTTCCGCGACCTGCGCGTAAAAATGGTCACCCGGTTTTGAGTTCGCGTTTCTTGTGCAGAGTTTTTGTGATAACTATATCGAGCCACCTTAAAGGAATGGAATGACGTCATTTTTACTCGGTTGCCTAACATTATGACGTCATCATAAAATCAGCATCGATATCGTGCTAACGTCATCGGCCAATCACCATATAAGTAATAAGTTAAGACCACTGGTTAAGATTTATCATAATTTAATTACCGAATTGGTTGCTTATAGACCCGCGCAGATTTGGATTTCCTGTGGCTGATATTTAATAAACTCGGAGTGAATGTACCTTCATTAAATTCAGTACTCAATTTTAAAATTGAGGGAGTAGAAGAGATGTTACAACCTCAAAAGGTATTCATTTATGTCACATGTGCTGAAATCATTACCATCTAGGAGATAATATGTGGTATGAAACTTGGCACATTTCATTGTAAAAGGATTGAATATAGTGTTTTAAATTGCTGCATATTACGAAACTCTGACAGTCTAAAATTGAAATTCATTAGAACGATAAATAATGAATTCTGCCAAGTTTCTAGAAAGTTGAATACGGTCAATAAATAAAAGAAACGGACTACCGATAAAAAGTAATTTATTGCACTTTAGGCTTATTACAACAGTAATCCATACTACTGGCTGCGACCTTCCGATTTCGTCCGAATGCAACTGGCTACACCAAGCAAAGCGGAAACTTTTGTGAGATATCCAGAAAAAACTGACGCTTATGTTTATGAAATGCCACAGGTTAGACTATAAAAACGTCTCGTGATTTGTGATTTAAATGGATGTAATAGTCGATACATTTTATGTAGGGACTCAAGTGGTTTGAAAACGAACATTTCCAGAGCTCGTCAATTTCCATGGAAGGAATGCCGTATTATGTCAATGATATTGTGGAATACACTTTAAATGGAAATACTTATCAGGGAAAGTTAATTAAATTCTATACTAAGGTATAATAAATTTCATGTATACACAACACATTGTTATTCGACTATGGCAATAAAAATTAGGCGGTCACTTTTAAGGAACCCTATGTGCAAAACCTTCAACTATTATACCCATGCATGCAGTTCTCTAAACATTTCACCAAAATGTTTGATTCGTTACCAAGCCTCTTTTTACAGGTCATTCACAATAAATCTGAAATGATGATCAAGATACAGTACTTGCACAGGGAAGGAAATAGCAATTATTGCATCTGTCCAGATGTAATTGTAACAGCATTATCATCAAGCATAAAACAGAAAATCAATGTCGACCCACTTCAAATTAAACACAAATATAGGAATGAACAAACTGTCGAAGTATCTGAGCAGGTGCAGTAACTCGGAACTGTTAGTCATTTTAACATTGGAATATTGTATACTGTAAGTACAAAGTTTCTCACTTTCTAACATTTTCATAGGAAGCAGCAGAATATCTTGAACCACATATAGACAGTGTTCGTACTGGAGGTAATAAGCCAACCACCACACTCCCGCTACTGATATTCAGCGACGAAACAAGCGGAAACACTACCAAGAAGTGGAACCGGTTAGAAAGTTACTCCATGTCCATGGCAAGTCTACCGAGAAAAGAGTTTAGGAAGCTCGAAAACATCCACTTTCTAACGACATCCAATGTAGTGCCATCTGTTCCGCTTGGGAAATCTATTGCCAGCGACCTACAAGGTACATGCGAAAATATTGTATTTTAAATTTTTGTGATTTTCAAACTTGCAAGTGATAGCTGCAAGCAGGCTAACCGCCAGAAACCGTATTGCACCATGGTCCCCCATGGCCAGGCCACTAACCTGAATACCATTCATGGCCAGAAATCAAGGACATGTTTTATTCTACTTCCTTCGTAATTTGCATATCACGTTGAAATATGGCTTCTGCAGTAAACAGTAAATTATATTACGCGATGCTGTAAATCCCCAAATCAGAGAATATGGTAGGTCATTTGCAACTTGCCTCAGTTGCTGGCTACACATCAAAGTCTATCGAAGTATTTAGCGTAATATTGACTTGATTTTAGTAAGTGACCATTCTGCATTTTCAGTATTTGTACAGAGGTTAGTTTGTACGGAATTTAACTCTATATATTATAAGGATACCGCACTGTCCATAGCCACTAGAAACAAACGAAAATGCAGAATATACAGTAACTTACACCAGGCAAACACCACACGATATATTTCAACAGACCGTGTTCTGCAACCAGCAATCGAGGCAAATTGCAAACGACTACCGATATTCTCTGATTTTGCGATTTAAAGCATAGCGTAATATGATTTACTGTTTACTATCAACGAGTTATGTATTAATGATATGCGAAGTTAGGAAGTCGAATAATCATGTCCGTGATTTCTGGCCATGACCATATGATCGCTTATCCTGCGTTGACATGAGTCTAATAGCTGAAAAAAATTGCAGTTAATAAATAGTAGTTAATAAAAATTGTGTTCCTTTCAGAACTCGAAGATGGTAAAATAATGTATGACGCATATTTTAACAGCGAAATTCTTGTGAAGTGTCCGGTAATGTGTACAACTGCAGATAACCCACGTGCATCAGAATTCGAACACCACTTGGGTAGCTGTGCAAACAAATTTTGTAGGAAGTGCAATGTGAGTTTTAAATTTCTATTCGACCAAACCAAAACCATATTGCAACGAAACCTCATTCTCATAAATCATGAGCAAATATAATAGCCTTTCTCTGCACTAGAATTATCAAAGGGTGCATGGTATATCAAGTAATATGAACTACTCGCACTAAGGCTGTATACAGATCATAACTGATTTACTATTATATCTTAATTTGTATCTGATATGTCACATTTGTTAAGGCCACATCAGACAATGGTAACGAAATTCAAATCCTACGAAATGATGAATGCGTTCAACAGCAAATCCAAGAAATTGAAGAATGCACGTACGTTAATTTCTGCGCATGTTAATGCCCTTTTTGTTTGCAAAAACGTAGTCAACAATCAACATATCAGGGGCTTACCGTGAAAAAGTGGATATTTTAGATAAAAGCTTTCAAAAGCGTCGAGTGTTCATACTTACTGTATCAATCTAAATTTAGATCCGAAGCACAGAAGAAGAAAACAAGATCCGAACACGGTGTTACAGAAAAGGGAGGTGCATTTGACACCTTGAAGTGTTTTAGCGGAAACAAGTAAGTATAACACCCTATACAGCAGAAGAAGATATTTGCCTTGATGAGTTTTCTTAATACTTCACTTTCGTTCCCTATGTTCGGTCAGAAAGTTGTTCTTAACTATTCTCCCTTGACACGTCTGATTTGCTCGTGTATACTGTATAAGCATTTACATTCGCGTAAATATCGTTTTATTTTTATTTAGTAAAACACCAATTGAGATTCTGCACACCATACTTCTCGGACCCGTAAAGTATTTGCTCTCCAGCACCATAAAATCCTTAAATCAGCATGAGAAAGATCAGCTGCACGCAAAAATTTCAGCGTTGGACATGAGTGCATTTGCAGCAAATATAAGGGGAAACATTACCAGGAATTATGGTTCCTACGTAGGGAGGGATTTTAAGCTATGGATGCAAGTTGCGGTGTTCGTACTTCAAGGGATCATTCCAGATGAAAATCTTTTGATTTGGGAATTACTGAGTGAGGTAAGACGCGCCTTATAAAATCACATTACTGTATAATATTTAAAATTACAGACGCGATTATTCCGACAAATATGTGCAGTTACTTACACGCCGAAACTGAATCGGTTGTACACTTGAAACGTCACTTGAAATGGCAATAGAAGTTATAAGATGAAAGCTGGAGAGAATTTATGCTAAAAACAAACAAGACACCTTACCAATTTGATATGTCGTTTCCCAAAGACAGCCATTCCAAGGTGATGTATCACACGTACAGTATCAAAGCCAGAAACAAAATCTTGTTGTGTAATACCAGCAATCATGGGACCAAAAAAGTACCTGGTACAGAAAATTCAAAATATGAGTCTTAATACAAGCAATTCAAAATAGCCTGTTAAATGATCGGACATAAACTCAATTTTTATCAAAGTTATATACTAGAGACAATGTACATCAATAAATACCTTTAATTTTTCAGATATTCTCCTTTGCATATGCCACTGGATTTGACAGAAGAAACCAACAAGCAGCGAATCAGATGGTAACCACATTCGTCAACGCTGTACGTACAACGTACCCTGAACTTGTAAAGAAGCCAAAAATTCATTTACTGTTACATCTGGTCGATGATATTATGAATCTTGGACCAGCCAATGGATTCTGTACAGAAAGGTACAGTACACATGTTACATAGCTTCTGGACTGGTAGGATAACTACCTGAAAAATACAAGGAGAACTTCAACATTGAACATCAAGTATTGCCTAGCAATACTTGTGATGACAATGCCGACGGGAGGGGGATATGTGTTGCAACAAATCAGCGTGCTGCATTTTCTCTAGCAATATAATAACGAGTTTCATATAATGTATACATTTTATTTTGCAGATTTGAAGCATTCAATTCAATAATTAGAAGTTTGAACATCAATAGCAATCGGCATGCATCAAGTTTGGACATTTGCACCAAAATCGCCAAAATGGAAAGGCTTCGATTTGTGCTAAGTGGAGGTAGATGGGGAGAAGATCACAGGTAATGAAATAAATATATATTCAGTAGTATTCACATCCAGTTGCTAAATCTTGTATGCACAGTACAGTATATACAGATGGTGATGTATTGTATAATTATACAAAATTAATGTGGATGCATGTGACAGTTTCGAGTACTGCCAGTAAACATGTTAACAAACCTATCTGCCAATGTCTCATATTAACCCAATATTTGACTGGCAATGTGTTTAAATTCATCTGACTTTAGTATTTGCTTTGTCTAACAGCTGACAATTTTACTCATCAGTCTGTGGTAGAGTACTAGCTGCCAGTAAATGGGTTAAGACTTACTTACCACTGTAAGTGGCACTAGAATTAAGGTTAAATAAATAATATGTGTTAATCTATTATCAGCTTACAGGCATCACAACTAGTCAGAAATTTAGGAGGAGATCCCAAGATCCAACATTTTCTTAACAATACACCAGCTAAGGAAAGTATGGACAATAAGGCTATATACCAGTCAGGATGTTTAAGAAAAGTAAGCAAAATTATAACTAAATTTCAAGGATATTTTTTGACATTGATGTCTAATAAATATTCCTAATAAATAACTAATTACCATTAACAGTATATTTGTTAATTTTTCAGGGAAGTTATAACAAAGGCAAACTTCAATCTCAACCTGTAAATCAGTGCTTGTCCCTTGAGGAAATTGCAGCAGCTGGAATTGACAACACAGAAGAAAGCTGTATTGTTTTCAAAGCAGTTGTGAGTGAGAACCATACATTAATCAGTTCAGATACACCAATTGTATATGTGGACAGCCAACATCAGGTACACTTCATTAATGGTGTTTGAACCACACATGTAACTCAAAATAAGGAAAATTGTGTGGATAATGGCTATACTGGTAATATATAATTGTATATTATGTGTTATCCGACCATTAATAATTTAACAATTTATCACCAAAGGTGAAGTGATTATTGGTGAACAAAAACCAAGATGAAGTCGAGGTTTTTATTAACCATAATCACCAAGCCTGAGGTGAATAATTGTTTTTATTAGTATAATTTCATAGGTTATTATTTGAGAAAAAGAATACACATTTCTTTGTCATTTCATTGACAAAATGGCTTCGGCAGCCATTTCAAAAATCGCTTAGGTGATTATCCCATTATAATAACCTCAACAGCAGCCAATCAGCTTTTCATTAATCACCTATGCAGTTATACTAACAGGTAATACCATTAATTTTATACCTGTTAATGGGTAACACATAATATACAATAAGCTAATTAGCTAAATTTAAAATCTAAAAAACGTATGGACATTTTTCAAAACATATTTTCTGTAGTCATGAGTAGCAATGTACACACTATAGGTATAGCAAAGGGAATGTAGGTCTTTATATTATAGGTTATCCAAATGCCTGAATGAAATTTAAAGGTAAAAAACTTTCTTCAAATTTAACTTTCTGGTAGTTGGATTATACAATTCGGCGAGTGATTTTGCGCGCTTTTCTTAACTCGAGCAACATTCCCAAGTGTTTGGATCAGGCCATCCAAACACGGAAACCATAAAGTAATTGTTTTATAAAATAACAACAACACGATAGTCTTCCGTGTTTGGATGGCCTGATCCAAACACGGCTTTCGACCAATCAGAGCACGCGTTATATACATGTTATTTTATAAAATCTATTAATATACACAGTTACATTTTCTACTTATAAAAATAAAATTCCATATATATATATATATATATATATATATATATATATATATATATATATATATATATATATATATATATATATATATATATATATATATATTATATAAATATATAATATATATATATATATATATATATATATATATATTTACCCATTTCTTAAATTTGTTACTTTCCACCTCACGGACTTAGCTATGCAAGTCTTGAATATGCAATTCTAATCTATGTCATCTGCATTTCATTTCAGCATCATCTTGGAATTTTCAAGAAAGGACTAAAGATGGAAGTGTCAGAAAAGAAAATGGTTCAAATTGAAAAAGTCCAATTCTGTAAAGACAACTCTCAACAACCAATATTGGGATGTTTTCAATGTCCAGTAGTAAAAAGAACAGGTAATCTTACCTTAATCCAGTCAGATCATGTCATTGACCAAATTTGCCTCATGCATGACTGTTCCAATGGAGGTTGCACTTTCACAGAATCTGAAACACGAACAATGGTTGAAAGGGAAGCAGTCACAAAAGTGAAATTCACATTTGTTCATAACTTAAATCATAAGAACTATTTGGTTAACAAGTTCTATCTTGGCGAATCACTTAAATATTTCAATATTGCATGAGCATGGATTTAGTTATACTAATTCTTTGACAATGGTTACAGTTCTAGGTCCAATTCTGCATTCAAGTTGCTGTGTAAAATGCAAAATTAACATTTTTCTCCTAAACAATTAAGTACTGTACATATATTTAAAACAAATACTTCTTTATTGAATAATGTATACCACACTTTTATGTTTGGGCTATTTCCAAGACAACTTGAACACAGACATGGCACCTTATAAGAATAAAAAATAGAAGGGTCAAAGGTATATCATGGCCAGAAATCCCGGACATAATTTATTCTAATTCCATAAAAACTTAATACATGATATCACTTTGAAATACGGCGTTAACAGTAAACAGTAGATTCTACAATGCGATGAGGTAAATCGCAAAATCGTGGAAGATTATGGTAGATTGTTTGCAACTTGCCGCATTCGCTGGTGCTAAATCGAAGTTTGTTGATGTATGTAGTGTAATTTTGGCCTAATTTAAGTTGCTGTTTTCCTGCTTTTTAGTTTATTCCTAGTGCGGTATTTTTATATGGAGTTAAATCAGGCTAATATTACACTAAATTCTTCGCCAGGCTTTGTTTTGCATCCAGCAATTGCGGCAAATTGCAAAGGATCTACCATATTCTCCGATTTTGCATTTACATCATCGCATATACTGTGGGAGCCATTTTTGAAGTTATATGAAAATTAGTAAGGAAGTAGAATAAATTATGTCTGTGATTTCTGGCCATGTTTAGCCAAATGTTTATAACTGTAATTTCTCTAACAAGTTCTTTGCAGTTTTGCATGATGATTGAAAAATGATAGAGGCTTTGTTTTGTGTAATAATTTATATGAAGATGTGCTCAGGGATTATATTATATGAGGATTGTAATCTTTAGAACACTGATTCTTGTGCGAGTGCCAGTCCTTCTCATAAATTAAAAACTGGAAGAGCATCTGTCATGTCATACACTTGACCTTTCTATAATATTTAGTTTAGACCAGGAATAGATATATATTGTTTAATGTGTGAAAGTCGACTTGAATATTAATTTAATTATATAGTGACATAGTAAAAAATACGTAAATGAATTTTATTTAGTGCATAACAAATGTAAAACGTTAAAATTAAATAAATCAAGTAAACTGTGGTTACTTTTACCTTGATAATAACTTGAATCGTTTCCAGGGATGAAGTGCAAAAGATTAAAAGAACTCCCAGAGAAGATTTCTTCACAGCCATAATTTTGCCTTTGGGTTCGGTGCCAGTTGGGGACCGGAAGCATTCAAAAACTATTTCAAGCCCCCCCCCCCCCTGAAAATAAAGGCCCCGAACAACTTGTTTTATCAGCCTTGTTGGATAATGTTAAAACAGCATTGAACATACCTGTTGTATCATGGCTGTTTTCGCTTGTTGAAACAGTAATTTTCCAAGTTGATGACAATATAAAACATCATTGATATCAGGTTGATCTCAGTTGTTCCAACAACGTTGTTCAGCCTTGTAGATTCATCAGCCGTCGACAACATTGTTCGAACAAGCGTGAACAATATTGTTAACAACATTGCTGCAAGTGGGCCGCACAATATTGCAGCATCCTGTTCAGAACCAAGTTGCAGCAACTTGTTGACAACTTGCAACAACATGATGATTTTTACGCGTGTAAGACAATCGATATGTTCAATTAGAACCATAGAATACCCTGGATTCCAGAGCCTTCGACAGTAAATAATATTACTGTCGAAGGCTCTGGAATCCAGGGTATAGAATAAATAGACATGAATGCGCACTGATGACGAATCATGCATGTCTCCACTTTTTCACCGTGCGCGTGCGTGCCCTTTTGAATGCGCCATTTTGAATTTTGGGCAGGAGTGCAAACTACAAAGTATAAACAAAGCTAAAACTACGTTTTCATCGTCAAAACGTTTTGTCTTGTTGTCTAATTTGTAGTTTGGGGATAGATTTTGAGTTCCTTGAAAGCACAAACTGTCAAAGCAAATGTGCAGTTACAAAACGGTGAAAATCGTGTAGCCTTGTAAAAACAAAGTAGATTCGCGAAAATATAATTTACTCATGAAACATTTTTGCATGCTCTGAACGTATTAACTGTTTTGCTAAATGCTAATACCTTATATTGAATACAAAATGATAGTTCTTTCTTCGTCGGGTTTCGTTTTTCCTCAATGTAATTATGTAAACGAAGTGTTTTCATGTTCTTGAAACAAAAATATTTAGTTGTCGATAAACCCCCACCCCCCGTCGCCAAAAAAATTTTGGTCAGTGTACCATTTTAGGGGGCAAAAAAATTTTCCGGACAACCAATATTTTTCGGAACATAACACAAATTTTCGAAAAGTCACACAATTTCCGAAAAAATTTACTTAATTTTAGACAAATTTTTATGTATTTGTCCCATTTTTTTTTGGCAAACCAAAATTGCCCGACTGTTGATCGAATATTGCCCGACTGCCCAAAAAAACTGGGGGGGCTGCCGCCCCCCCGCCCCCCCCCCGCCCGGTACGCCTATGTTGTTTTGGCTTGCACAACAACTGAACAACATAACGTTGAAAATTTATTTTTAAACGACGATTTCTGTATATATTCTGTTCAGAACTATTGCTTTTCGTAAAAAAAACCACTGGAATGTCTGGAATGGATTTTTAGACACTTTTTCTTCTTTACCAAACTTTTTTCCCATTTTAAGTCCCGATATAAAATTGTTGTTGCAAACTTTTCAGTTGAAAAAACCATACTACCATAGTTAGTAGAATAGATGGTTTGGAAACTCATTAGAATAACAATATAACTCATTATCTATGTTAGTCAACGTTTATTCATAAATCTGGTAGTTCATCGTCACGTGCGTAACCAATAGGAATGTTTTAGGAAAGTTACCTATCCGTGACTCGAACAATAGGGTAAATTGAAAATTGCTATTGGTGGATTTTGCAAGAACACAATACACACGTGACGGTGAACGACTACGTTTATGAATAAACGTTGACTAACATAGATAATGAGTTAGGTTGTTAACTATGAAAAACAATTCGCACTCCCTGCAACCGCGCGAAATTCCTTGCTCAGGAGTCTGGGACCTACCAAAATGTCCTTTTCAATGCGCCATTTTGTGGAGACAATTTTTTTACTGAGAAAAAATAGGAGCACGCATTCTATGTCTATTATTTCTATGATTAGAACACGGTTAATAGACCTAGGTCTATTAATAATTAACCGTGATTAGAATGAGCGTGGGAAATGACGTCTGGGTTCGCAGACTATTCAGTTCTCCTAACGTGCTGGCCTACCGTATTTACTCGTTTGAGCGCCGCGGCGCTTTTTAAATTTTCAGAACTTCAGATGCGGCGCTCATTCGGGGGCGGCGCTCTTTAATAAAAAATTATTTGTGAATTATAACAAGAACTTTTAGCAATAAAATAAAGACGTTTTAAATGTCTTTGTCGCTAAATGTCCCCATTTTGACGGCGGGAAGTTTTTACACTGTTTACAAGTTAATATCAATGTCACTGTCCTCTTCATGTTCCGAGTCCAACTGCTGCATTGTAACTGTTGTTGGATATGCCTCCTGGACATCAGAAGACGTAAATTCGTCGCTTTGAAAGGGATCAATTAAGCGCTGCATTTGAAAATAATTAGTGCGACGCTCATTGGGGGGCGGCGCTCTTTAAAAAAAAATGATCTCAAATGCGGCGCTCATTCGAGGGCGGCGTTCAATCGAGTAAATACGGTATATAACAGCATCACTATCAGAAATATCAGCCGGTTGCCCTCTTTATCTGGTAGGTACAGTAAAGCCAGTTTTCCACTTCAACCGTATCGTATTGTACCATTTTCTTTTGTGTCGAAGTCATTATTGAAGTGGAAAACTGGCTTAAGTTATCTTCCGCCGAGGCTGACGACATTTTCATTTTTGATGAGAACGTGGAGTTGTGGAATGGGCCCGATATTAAGTGTACTTCCGGTGCTTACTCCAGTATCCCTGGTTTTTGCGCATTGTACGTTTTTGGCCTGCCCTAGCACTCCTGGAACTTGTCATGGCTTCAGTATTTTGCTCTGAAAGTTATAAATATGCCAATTATGCTAACAATGTGGTCTGTACAGCATGTCCTCAGTTTTGTACTTTTGTAACAGATTAGGGTGCTTAAGATCTGCTTAATTAATCTAGTACGCAGACACAGAATAGAGACAAACAGAAGATAGACTTCTTGGTTTTTCCTATGATTTTGGCGTAACCGTAATTCGTCATCAAATGCTGACGCCATGGTCCGCCAGTGCGCTTATATATATATATGAGAGGCATTCACCCCCCTGATAAAATTCAAATGGTGGACGTCCATGGTGTCAGCATTTTGATGACGAAGCATGGCGTGCACATGGCAGCAGTTACGCTTTTTTGGCCGAGTCGTCCTGTACGTGACGCGACGTGACGAAAAGAACAGAGTCCCGTTTGCATAGATAGGAGCCAATACAGACTGAACCCTTCGCCACGTCATATGTAGTATAAAATAAATTATATAGTACGTATACATCAAAAAGTTATAATCCTTTAAATAATTTCAAGTATACTTAAACTATGACTACATGTTTTCTATGTACAGTAAAAACATTTTTGGAAAAATTGAGAGATCATTTATTTCTTCTTTCCTTTCTTTCCTCCTTTCTTCCCCGACTTCTTTCCTTTTTTCCCTTTCTTCTTTTTCTTCAAATTGTAAGGACCAAGTTGTTTGCGGACCATCACACCTCGCCACCACGACTGAATCTGCGAAGAAAAACGGAATTTCTATGTGTATTTATTGTTGCTGTTGCTGTTGTTGCTGCTGTTGTTGCTGCTGTTGTTGCTGCTGTTGTTGCTGCATGCTGTTGTTGCTGTTGTCGTTGTCGTTGTCGTTGTTGTCGTTGTCGTCGTTGTCGTTGTCGTTGTTGTTGTTGTTGTTGTTGTTGTTGTTGTTGTTGCTGCTGCTGCTGCTGCTGCTGCATGTTATTGTTGTTGTTATAAGGAACAGTTGAACACAAAAGTACGTCACTTTAGTCATTGACCCTCGTTTCGTGATCGAGATATTGGGCTTTAACTAATGTCCCATAAATGAGGCTCAATAGCCAAAACGACGTACTTTCCGGAAAGGTACCAATAATAGCGTTATACAATCATTCTGGTACGGCGCCGGACAATCTTTGGATAATCAATTCAGATAATTGTTAATTTCTTGGGAGACCCTTCACCATATCGCACATTCGCACTAGTCCTAAAATTCAACAATCAACATAAATATACGGTACATTTATTGCTGCCTTTAGCTCCTCTTCCTCTTGTTCAGCTTGCCGTCTTATCTTTTCCTTCTCAATTCTATCTTCAATCACAACTTTTTCATACTCAGAATACTGTCAATATTAAAAATAAAACTCTTAAGTAATGTTTTAAATCCCAAAAGGGACTAGACGGAATTAAAAAAACTGGGGCTATGAATTATTAATGATATGAGATAGTGTTGTCTAATCATGTGTGTTACATTAAGCCATCAGCATGGCAGGATTTTGATTATTTCATCAAACATGGCGTTTTCCAACATCAAAACTCATCGCAAAAACATAGCATCGCAAAAACTTCGGCGAATTAAGCTTGACAACTATTGTAAGAAAATTGCATACTAGATACATTTTTAGGGTTGTAATAGACAACTTGCATGTTATACTAATTTTGGATTAAGGCAAAAAAAAGTAAATTCCCGTAAAGAACTTATTAAAATTAGTGGAATTGCAAAATGTTGTAAAATACAGAAAATATAGGCTTGTGAAGTTTGCATATTTCCAGCTAGTATATTTATATTACATGCGGAAATTGTTACCATTTTTGAGCCGAAAATGGTAACAATTTCCACACGTAATACAAATATACTGAAAATGTGCAAATTTAGCAAGGCTATATCTTCTGTATTTTACAACATTTCGCAACCAAATTTTGCAATTTTACTAATTTCATTATGTTTTTTTAACTGTTGTGTTTGATTCCCTTCTCTTGACTTAGATTAAAATTTAGACTAACATGGTCCCGTGCACATTACAACTGGTGAAGATATCAATTCAGTGCTATTCCTGGGTGCGAAAAATCGCGTTATAGGTATCGGAGGTATGCCAGTAATACTGGATGGTATGTTTTTCCAGTCAAATATTATACGTAGGTATACGCGGAACTCTTGCTATCAAGTTAAGTAGCATTCAAGTACGACTAAAAATCTTGAATTATCGCACCCTGGCTTATATGGTATCAACAATAAGTTTTGTTGTAAAATGCCGTTAATCATAGTACTAACCTTTTGCGTAAGCTCTTGGAGTCTCGATAAATCGTTTGCTTTCGAAGCCTGTAATTAACACAAACTACGATAAAAGTCTGGAAGAACCACAGCTGTACGAAAAGTATTTTTAATAAGTGAAAATAGATCTTACCTTAAGTACATCTAATTCGTGTTGTTTGGCTTCTACATCTCTGTCATACTTTTCCATCCAGTATTCTACTTTTTCTTCCAAAGCCTAGAAAATAATTTTTGGCTTTTGACGTGAATTTCTGAAGAGGATCCTCCATGCTCACATGCATGTACTATAGGGATTGTTCTGAAATCACACTTTTTCAGGAAGTGCGTCATGCACTTTATAGCTATAAAGCTAGGCTTTTATGATTGCAATTTGTTTTAGATCCTGGAGGATCTGTTGTTAGTAGTACAGGCATAATTATGTAATTTTTCTACCATGTACAGGTAAAATCACAGGGAAATTGCTGCCTTTAAAGCGCCGATAACGACATGAAGGAGCACTTAATTCTTTCTCATGGAATTATATAGCGCTTAAACGCTCGTGGCCTTGACGAGACTTTATAATAGAATAATACATGCTTTGTATCGGTTTTGCAAGAAGTTAGAACATTATTTAGTTGAGATCACACACTCAGATATAACGCGAGATGGACACATAACGCCAAAAGCAACTCTATGGCTCGTGCCATATTGCATGGTTATATACACCCTTTTCATAAATGGCCGCCAATTAAAAATTCTTTTATGTGCATATAAATTGGCCCAACTAGCGTCGTTTCTGGGTAGAAATTCCTTTGAAATCTTAACATGAGTACGAGGCTAGTTGGGCCAATTTATATGCATGCACATAAAAGAATTTTTAATTGGCAGCCATTTATGAAAAGGGTGTATAACATTTGAATACTTCAGAGCTACTGTAAAATATAAGCTTCAAGCAGTACTGGATTTTGCTTTTGAAATAATTACCAATTTAAGAACAATCGCATGTATTATAAACATGTACCTTATATGTTCATTAACAAATTTCACTGGATTTCAGCAAAACGACATTTGTCAGTTCTATATCGCAAATCAGTTTTAACTTTCAAGTGTCTAAGAGGAACGTAGAACATGATATTCCAGCGATTTGCATGTGAGGGACTCATCATAACAACTGGCCGTAGCGACAGAGTTGGATGTATAACTCTGAAAAATTGGTAGCCGCTATAATATTATAACAAAACCAACCTGGTGATGAGTTCGAAGGTAGGATTCAATCTCACCATTCACTCGTGATTCTTCACCAATCTTATAGCGCAACTCCTAAAGAACGATTCACTGTAAATCAATTATCGAATATTTGTTAATATTTGTCATTAGTTATACAGTATGTATGTGGGATGGTCTGAGCAGACAGCATGCAGTGTGGATTACGAGATGACCAAATCCAAACAAAATCTCTGCTTTAACCTATAACTGCTGCATTAATTCAGACCATTGCATGAGCAACTTCAATATGTACATGCAGTTATAAAGTCAAAGCGACAAGGTTTTCATGAGTCAATTTAACACAATTGCGTACCTCAAGTTCCTGTCTCAAACTTGTTTCTATCTGTTGGCATTTCTTTTGAGTGACATTGACTCGAACTTCAGCGTCTTTTCTGATATATTTGCCCTCCATACTCGCTTTGGCTTTCATCTCTTGAAGTTGGTCTTTGAGATGTGCGATCATTTCATTTCTTTGCTGTGTAAAAAATGAAAGCACTTCATATTTCTATGAGGGACATGTACCGGTTTCCACAATCCCGACAATTTTTTGCATCGAATCCCTTTTATCCCGCCATATTTACAGTAATCTCAACTCTACTTCCGGCGATGATATAAAATCTCGCTTCATATTTTCCTTAAAATTCCGAATCCCACTTGAAACACTGCAAAGGCTTGTCCCCTGGGACAGACCATTGAAATAATAGATAATTATTATTTTTATGGTACAGACCCACACTCGCACCCACTTCAATCTTCGATTAATTGAATTAGGTAGTATATCGTTATGCACTATAGACGCACGAAAAATATCGCTGTAAGGTACATAAATAGGAAATATTTTAATGTTTACATACAATTACATCTTTTCCACGAAAAAACAATTATAACAATACCAGTCAGTTAACTTTTCTTATTTTTCAGGTCAACTTTAATAATGCTTTTTGCCGGCTTTATACTGTATATAACAGAAACGGGGGAAGCCATATTTCTATACTTATAATAAGTAACTACTTTGCATTTTCTTAATATTAAATAATTTGTTTCTTACCTGAATTTCCTGCTCTTTTTGCTTTCGAACTTCAACTAACTGACGTTGTAACGTTTTTACAGCTTTTCGACTTTCTTCTTCCCTATATAATTCAGAAGAGGGGAAATGTCTCTCAGAGTATTAATTGGGAAACGAACAGTCCCTATATATATATATATATATATATATATATATATATATATATATATATATATATATATATATATATATATATATATATATATATATATATATATATATATATATATATATATATATATATTTCAGACATTTTTAACAAAGCATAAATTAAATAGGTTGGACGTTAGGGACATATTTCTTGGTTATGTCTATAATGATCTGTTTTAAAATTTGCATGTATCGCTGAGTCTAATTCATGCCTTTTCATGTTATTATAGTTTTATATAACTTTCAGCCTAAATTGTTTTACTTTCTTTAAATCAAGGGTCCATATTAATTGGTGTAAAATTGTTGTGGTGTCCCCGCCTTCTGCATGTACGTTTCGCATGTAGCTATATGTATACTGTTTTTGTTTTATATTGTGTAGGCCTATATAATTATTTTATAAGGCAAAGCTAAATAAATAAATATTTTTAGCTAAACTATTCTCTGTATCCAGAAGTTTGTAAACGAAGCAAAATTCCCCTACTTTAATATAGTGCGTTGAAGTTGGTCTTTCTTCTGCCTTTCTCTATTCACAGCATCAGTTAAGGCCTGGTAGGTTTGTGATGCATTCACTTCCGCTAATGTTTCTTGAACCACATCTTGCAGAAATGTTCTAAAATTACAGCGAAATGCATGCATTGGTGTCATTGTGATCAGTATATGTTCAGTTCATTCAATAAGCAGATCTCTCTGTGTCATTCGGGTGTGAAAAGAATGTTTTCAGTTTGATTCCATAGTTTGCCATTAATTAAAGAGTTACCTGCATGCGGCTGCATGCGGCTGCATGCGAGGTAGGCTACATATTAAAAGCATATATCGCCAGCGTCGTTGCACATTTTCAGAATCAAGACGTAATATCGATACTGCATGGCGAACTGTTTTTCAGTTATCAATAATTTCGATCAAAATCTGATGCGGGTTAATAAATACTGCCGAGAGGCATGCGCTCCAAAAGTCTCGCAACTTCGACGAAAAGTCCTTTAAAAGTCAAAACAATCCATGTGAACATTATACTTGACAATAAAATTCTCAAAATTCATAAACTCTTGAAATAAAAAATATATCACTACATTCCCCAAAGTCTAAAAGAATATGATGGAATCGACATTCTATCCCGGACTGAATATGCCATCTACTGAATATATGCATGTAATTTTATCCAGAAGTAACATGTTACATATTAATGATATGGTTTCGGAAAACTGCCACATGGTATATTTCTTGTAATTTTTTAATTAACAAGTATTTGGGAAAAGAACTAGACAGCGTCGTGTTTTATATGTGATAAAACACGAAAGTTTAACAACGAAAAATAGTTTTTATTTCGTACGAAAAGTCTGACAAAGTATGACAAATGTTTTTGGAGTGATTGCTCGCGTTAAACCATAATCGATTTGAACTGATGATTGAAGATAAGTGGTTACAGATGGAAAGGTAATTGCCAATAAACGTGCATGGTGTGTTTTTTTTTTCTTCATAAAACACAAAAAAATAATCCCGATTTTTTGCTATAGTCCTTATATATCCCAAACAAATCTGCTTCTCGTGCATTCAATCCATGCTATCCTTTAAATTAACGTAACAAACATTAATGATTATAAAACAATGGAATTATTTCAATTAATATTCGTCTTACCTGTCAGCTTGTATTTTCGCCAAATTATCACTATTTAAAGGATTGTGTTTAAAACTCCTACTAACCCCTAAATCGAAGATAAAAAAACAGTGGTCCGTGAAAAACCCTTTTAACACAATGCACAGTACCCTGACAATCAGCGTGGACTGTGGCCTGCCCACAAATAATAACGCGCCAGGCTATTCATCACAGGGAACCCACTTTTATCACTTGTTTCCGGCCACGGGCTAGAATGCATATACAGTAGATAACTAGTCTTTGTCATGGATTCTCAACTGGCTCATTGACACATAGCAATTTCCTTCCATACATGCGATGCCGTTTTATCACAACCGCGCGGGTTAAAAATCAATGAAATGTTTGAAAGATAATTGCTAATTAAGCTTTGGCTTTTACTTTAAAGGGGCAGTATCATCAAAATTTTTATTTTCGCAAACGAAAGTGCTCATAAAACTGTATAATAACTTGTTTTGAAGATTTTTGTTCCCATGCTTAGTTCTTGAGATATTTCATTTTGTTTGTAACCATGTGACGTCATCTACTCAATTACATATATAATGACATATCGGTAATTTTTGTGTATCTTTGCTATTTTTATCAAAATATTTCGAAAGATGCCGCGCGTTTGTTAATTTAACATGTATCATTAAGCATATCGTGTTTTTTTAACAAATCGATCAAAAATAGCAAAGATAAACAACAATTGCTGATATCTCATTATATATGTAATTGAGTAGATGACGTCACATGGTTACAAACAAAATGAAATATCTCAAGAACTAAGCATGTTAACCAAAATCTTCAAAAGAAGTTATTATACAGTTTCACAAGCACTTTCATTTAAGCTTTGGTTTAAGAGAATAAAAATTTTGATGATACTGCCCCTTTAAAAGTGGAAGTTAATCTGCCCATGCACAGTGGTTTCAAAATAAGCCGTCGCATCCGACTGCAACTTTTCCATTTGCGACGACTACTTTCTCTTTTGTAAGTATTGACGAACTATAAATTCTGGTTAAAATATTAAAGTGTTTACAAAACGTTTTGTGAGCAAACAAGCGTGCATTTCGTCGAAACATAACCACAGCCACAGATTAGAAGCCTTGATACGACTCTCTTGCCCGTTGAGGACAGGCTCAGAGCAGTGCTTCGACTTTCAAAAATTGAAAAATCCTTATTTTTTCCTGATTTGGAAGATTTGGACTAAAATTTCCTTCAAAGATATTGAAATTTCCCGCAAATTTCCTTTACGAATTTCTTCCATTTTTACGTAGGTTTTCGCAAAATCATGCCAGACAATTGCAAATAAAAATGTTTTGAATATATTTGCTGCAATAGATCAAACAAGCTATGTGGAGTTTACATTGATTCGTCATTAAAAGTCCAATAATTGAATTAATTAAGCAAATTAAAGGCTATTTAAATTATTGAATGCTGCCAGGCATTTCAAACAACTATGGCTTTGTTGGGTGATGTTTACTGTATGTAAACGTTGTAGGCATTAATAAGAACATAAATTTAACAGTGTTCTAGACATTTAAAATATGATTTTTGTTGTGTCTCAAGAATAAATCAGTGCTGGAAAATGCATCTCGTATAGCCCTAGGAGTTCAAAATTTTCTGGAAGCATGCCCGTCATTTTCTGGAAGCATGCCCATGTCACAGGCCCGTCAGATCCTCCGAGTTGCGAAGTTCGGCCTTCGGTTGCAACTCCTACACTTCCCATCGCAACGTCTACTATGAAATGTTTTGAAACCACTGGCAGTGACAATGCGCCCAGATGTGCCCTACTTTATTATTTTACTCTGTCTAACGCCAGATTATTTTACTCTGTCTAACGCCAGACGATTTTACTCGTCAGGGGGAGAGTGCTGTCAGGGTCACTCAATGTGTTAATGTTTGTTTTATAATTTTAGTTCCGGCCGGAAACCCGAATTTTTAGAGTTCCGGTTCCGGCCGTAACTGGTAAAAAAGGCATGGCCGGAACCGGAACTCTGTCGTTTTCAGAGAGATAGAATATCAAACGTTTTTGTGTCTAACAAAAGGTCACAGTATAGGAAGAAATTTGGACTACGCAAGGGAAATGTACACTATTAACACTTCATTATGACGTTTAACGCTTGTCAATCTTTTTATTCTAACATTTGCGAGCTCTCTCCTTGATGACTTGAAGTGTCTGCCTGTCTGGCAGCGGACAAAGTAACATATGACTATATATGGCTTATGTCTTTTCCAGTTCCGGTCGGATCCGGTTCCGGCCGGAACTTAAAAAACTGGTTCCGGTGCACCCCTAATAATTTAGCATATAACATGCACATAGCAAAACAAAAATGACCAAAAAACAACTAACGGAAATAAACAATTTGTATTACAGCTCCCGCAATAGTAAACAAAATAGTATTTACAACCTTAATAGTTTTATTCATCAGAATAGTACGTTTTAAAGGATACCTCTACACAATGTTAAGGAACTGTATCGTTTAGTAAAAAAATTACTCGTCTGTAACCGGAACGAAACGGGAAGCCATTTTGTTTTTGTCCGGAGGTGAATAGTGCAAGGATATCCGGAGCTGAACAACCAATCAAATTGCGCGAAAAGCACAATCCATGCATCCAGTGCTGCACAGAGAAATTCGGGAGCCCGGGGTAAATTTTTAATTCGGGGAAATAAAATCCTTTCCCAAAAACGTTGGTGAGCGGGGGGAGGTTAAAACATTTTCCCCGACATATCCAAAAAAAAGGTTGAAAAAATTTCTTCCGGACAAACACAAGTGAAATTAAGGTTCAAAAATTTTTTCCGGACAAACACCTGTAAAATCACGGGTAAAACACATTTTTTCGGACCAATACCAGTAAAATTAAGGTCTAAAAATTTTTTCTCATACCGAATATAACAAACGTTAACAAATATTTTTTTTTAATTGTACCTTTTGGGTCCCCATTTGCAAATTTTGGGTCCCCTTTAACAAACAGGGGGCCCGGGGCAAATTGCCCAATTTGCCCCCGCCCCCCTCTGGTCGGCCCTACGTGCATCCTCCCGAGCATATATATGATAATGTATAATATACAATTATTTTGTTGCCAAAGGTAAACGTACTTAGAATATTATCATTCAATGAATTGTTACACAACAGCACTATATTCTATAAAACACCGTGCGGATACACCTACCTAGCGCACCATCCCTAAGACTTGATGCAGCATCCAAAATACGCTTATCATTTTCATGAGTTCGCGACTGAAGTGACTTGCTGACTTTCATTGCTTCACGCTTGTTCATTAACTGAAGAAATTGTTATCAGAACATTAACTAATTTAATGAGAAAAAAACTGTACTATAGAAAACGCCTAAAATGAAATTTCAAAAAGACTTACATTGTCAAATTTTATTTCCAACTGCTTTTGACCAGCCAATATTTCAGCTATTTCGGTGTCCACAATCTATGAAGGTACATGAACTTCATCAGTTACTCGACTGTATGCATGGAGTACAATATACTATTAAAATAGGCTTTTCTTTATACCGCGCAAATTGAGATTAGACAATAATAGTTCAAGCTCTCTTGTCAGTGTATATGTCTTTTGTCAACGCTGGTTTGCACTATCAAAGTTTCTGCACTATCACAATAGGAGTTTAATACGAGTTTTGCATATTAGGTAAATTCTAACTTTTGAAGGATTTGTAAGAAATATTTGAGGGAACTGACTCAATTCGTGTTTAACATGAGTTCGAAAATTTTTGCAATTAGGAAGTGTTTTTATAACTTTAATAAATTATCCGTCGAAAGGCCAAAAATAATCGCAAGTTGTTGCAAAAAATATAATTTCCGGCTGCCTCGTACCCATGCAGGCGCTTTAATTAAATACTATTCAGGCTAAGGATACAGGCAGGCAGGCGACGCGAGACTAAGAAGCTGTTGGGAAAATAGAGATTATAAATAACACTAGAGGGGACTTTTGAGGGTGAAATTTGGGAGCGCGGTAATGGGGGCAAATTGAAATCCCGGATGAACACCACATGACAATTCTTGGGTTACACTTGAAACCAAAACAATTTTAAATAAGAGTCACAAAACTGGGTATTTTATATGTTTTGCATGTCATTACTACAAACATTCCCCCCAAATTTTGAATTCAAACGATTAATTCCTCTTGAAAAGATCAAAATTGATGACATCAGCATTATTTTGAAGCGCTCTCAAAAATGTGTTACAGACAAAATTGAGGTAAAAATTTTAGGTAAAAATCAAAACGGGACTACTTAACTGCCATAAAAAAGAATTTAGAAATTTCAGCTCAAACTCGCTCTTATTTAAGCATTTTGATTTTTGCTCCCCCGGCAATACTCGCGTTCCCTTTCTTTGACTGAATTAAGATTATGATGCCCCCTCTAGTGTTATTTATAATATTTATGGTTGGGAAGGGTATACTCTTCCCATCAGCCCCTCCGCGTTCCTCTCGCCATTATTTCGTCATACGCAATCAAACTACATACGCACGTCACTGTTTTTTTTTTCACAAAGAGACGCCTTGGGTACAAGGCAGAAATTCCGGTATAATACTGTAAGTATTAGAACACGAGAAATAATTTACCAACTGTGGGAAAAGGAGCTCGTATACACATTTCTCAAATTATCTGGCTGGCAATAAAAACTATTTTATTTACAATGGATTACATTGCCTGCTTCGATTTGATGCTATATTTTAATGTTGTTTCGTGTGCACTAAAAAAATCAGGAAGTGCCTATGGTTATTGGGCAAGTTTTTCCATATTATTTCCATATTTTTTCTCTAGTTTTTGACATGCAGCATGTCTAAAACGTTACACAGAAATAACTGTTTTCTATTTCTTTTACAATATATTAACTCAAGAAAAAGATTTTATACATGTAGATATTTCTCAGTAAATCGATTAATTTGAAGATTCTCATGACCTAGGGGTAAGCTGACTGCAATATGTGTTCGTAAATTTCACTTTAAAATAATCTAGTTCTCCACTGTTTATATACATGTACTGACAGATTCGTATGCCCCATCGCGACGTTGTTGTGGATTATTTCTCCATGATATCCTGGAAGACATTTGCTGATGTTCTTGTTCGTCTCCTTCATCATAATCGTCGAACGATTGCAAGTTGCGGTGACCAGTTACTTTCACGATCGAGGAACGCTCAACGTTGTTCTTTTACAATTTGTTGACTACCGTCTTACGAGCACTGTGGTTTGTCAATTTCGTTTGTTGTTGATGCTCAAGTTGTGCTCCCTGGACAATCCTTTTCATCATTTCGTTGATGCGATTTGTGCCCATAGGTTGAGATTTGTACCAAGTGTTGTTGTTGGAGTTGTACTTTATCGACAGGTAAAACGGGCCGGAATTTTGGAGTGCCGCTGGTTGCCGAGACAAGTACTCATTGAACAGAGCAACAGGACATCTTTCATCACCTGTAGCATACATCTTGGGCAGGAAATCTCTCGACTTTTTTGACAAGCCTCCATTTCTTGTTTTGGTGGGACCTTCGATGTATTCAACGTACTCGAGTCCGTCGTTGTCTTTGCCAATTGTGAAGTCTTCAACTTTCATGCCGTGATGCTCCTGTCGTCCACGAAGACCAAAATATTGTGTCAGCAAGACAGCAACCACCACATAGTATTGATTAAACTCTCGGCTGTTTTATTGCCCAGTTTTCCGTTGGTCCACAGGAGTTCTTCCTCCTCTTGCGTTAGACTTCGAGCTTTGTTTGGTCTCTTGCCTTTCCCTTCTTCGCGTAGACGCTTTGCCTTTCCCTCGAGAACTTCTTTTGATTTGCAAAATTCCCGGTCTCGTATTATGGACTTCTGATAACCACAGTCTTTCAAATAACAGTCCAAGGCTGCTATCATAACGCGGAGACTGTCTGGTTCGTATTCACCGCCATCCTTGTTCCTGACTTCACCGTAAAATTTCTCCAAAATTTTGTCTAAGTCGAACGCCTCGTACGTTTCAATGGCCTCAGAAAAACCTCGCTCCTTTGCCCATGATTTAAAAACGCCAAGCCAAAAGATTGTGCTTCTCTTGGTATTTGTATTTTCTGCATTATTTCGCAGTTCTTCAATTGAACTCACTTCCAAGTGCGGGAATCGTTCCCCACCGCTAAATGCGGCCATGTTTGTTTTTTAAAAAAAAAGAACATTTTGCCGCCAAAACGTAGCTCAATTTTGATTGGTTCATAGTGATAACAGAAAATTGCACTGTGATTACAGAAAATTGCACTGTGATTACAGAAAATTGCACTGTGATTACAGAAAATTGCACCGTGATTACAGAAAATTGCACTGTGATTACAGAAAATTGCACTGTGATTACAGAAAATTGCACTGCTGTTTGGGATTAACTGCACTGAAATCAACCAATCACAGTCGAGTAATACTTTTATGTATACTATTAGTATAGGTAATAGCATGGTTTCGAGTGCAATTTGAATATAACATGCACGAGTGAGTTTTTCAAAGACCTCAAAATAGCACGAGTCCGAAGGACGAGTGCTATTTGAGGTCTTTGAAAAACTCACGAGTGCATGTTTATCCAAATTGCACGAGAAACCATGCTATTACTTGTTAATAATTTGCATAAAAGTATTCGAGACAATCAAATTTGAACTTGACATTTATTAATAAACAAAGAACAAACATATTAGCTACACG